ATGAACAATTCAGATTCACTCATGCAATCGGCCTAAACGGCCAGCGATCAAACAACTCTCCTTACTCCACATCGACGCGAATAGATGGCCTAGATCGACGTGGAATAAGTATATAAACATCACGTCGCAAGGGAACCCTAGCCCTAGCCGCACCTGTTCTCGCCGAAGAAGAAGCACCAGCTGCCGAAGAAGGAGATCGACCCTCGGCTGCCGCCACACCAAAGCCACCACCGACTGTCAAAAAAGATAAAATTCTCCTTTACCTGTTCGGAATTCGATTCTGAGTCTCCCTGTGGCCATATTAGAATAAAAGGGATGGCGGGTGAGCCAAAAACTGCGGGCCAAGCCCGACAAAGCCGCTGCGGCCAAAACTTTAAAACCCCTATGATGAGCCCCTTCCCGTTTTCTGTTTCATACAATTTTTTGACCATTGTATTCACTGTCCCTTTCTACACAGATTAACCGAAGAAGAAACCCCAACCGCGAAGGAGAACCGGTGGAGTCACCGCACCTGGAGACCTCCCTCAAACCGGTAGGTTTAGTTTTTTATGATTTTCTGGCCAATCGAGACTCCCTAACGTGTTCTTCCGCATGGATATGTGTAAAATTGGATAAAACTGGTCAAAATCGACCAGGCCGAGGCGAACTGCCGTTATGGAGGGTAAAGCCGACACCAGAGTACAGCAGCGGTGCCGTGCCAGAACCCTAAAATGGGCCATAAGGAATTTTCAACACCGATTTTAGGTTTTCAGGGTATTTTTAGGTACGTGACGAATATTTTGTATTTTTGCATGAAAAATTCAGGAAACTCGGAACTCATTAAGAGACGTAATAGATAGCATAACAGTGCTATTGTGTGTTGTAAAAATTGAAGATTAATAATCAATAATTGTGTGTTTTGTGAAAAAATTAGAACCCTAAAAATATTATAGATTACTAGTGGAGACAGAACTGGTTAGTTCACGTTTGTCCTAATTCCCTGTTTATTTTTCTGTACTGTCTATATTTGCTTACTATTATACTATGCATAATTGAATTGATAGTTTTTTATGGTCTTCTCGATTATTTGGTTATTTGGTTCCTATTGTATTGTTTATTCGGTATTCTGGTTATTGGTTATTTGGTTATGCTAAACTATATCGCTTGTTTAAGTGCTATTTGAATTAATATGTGAATATGAACTGAGATGTTGGTATACTTTAGTAGTTGTTTGGATGATGAAAGTCTAAATAAATGAAAACTTACTGGGCATTCTGGGAAAAGGTAAACGGATCTGGTACATAGAGAACCCTACTGTGAGCATTACTTCAGTCGGATGGGACTGAGAAGTCTTATACCGGAAGGGTTTTGGAAGATATGGTTCACTCTCATACCGAACAGGGTATCGAAGTGATGGTGTTTTTAACTCCCATTACTGGACAGGATATGGGAACGACCAAGTTAATTGTTCAATATTGATATTGGGTTCACGAGTAGAGTTGTAACACCCAAAATTTTTCTTTATTTTATTTTATTTTATTTTTATTTTTATTTTATTTTTTTATTAGAATTTTGTTTAATTTTATTCTATTTTAATATTTAATTTATAAGGTTTTAATTTAATTTAATTTAATAGAAATAAAAATAAAATAGGGTAAAATTATTTTTGGGATTTAATTGAAATTGATTTTGGAAAAAATGGGTGAAAATTTGGATTCTAAGGGTGTTTTTGAAAAGAAAATCGAAAATCGGGGGTCAAAACGTAATTTAGAAAAATAATGCCACGTCAGCAGCCCGGTCAGCAGCCCCAGCCAACCAGGACACGCCGCGTGGTAGGGACGCTGATGCGGGAAGCCACGCGGGACGAAGACACGTGGGCGATCCGCGTGCGCGCGATCGGACGGTTCAGATCCGTTCCCGCATGCATGGACGGTCCAGATCAAAAGCGTGCATGGATGGCCCAAATCTCACGCGTGCGGACGGCCTAGATTTGATCACACATGGACGGTCCAGATTCATTTCCAATTTAATTGCGATCAGATGGTCCAAATTAAATCATGATAGATGACTCAGATTAAAAGGGGAATGTTATAAATAATCGCATCCACACCCAACCCCAAACCCTAGTTGCCAGAACCCTCGCCGGAGAAGATGACCCAACCACAGGAAGAACTGGGCGCCACCACCCGCCGCCGCACCGGAGGATTTTTCGGCCGCTAAACGGGGTAAAATTTCTCCCATTGTCTCATTTTTCGATGCTGAACCTTCCTGTGGCCAAATCAGAGCAAAACCACCGGCCAATTGGCTGAAAAATACCACCGAATTCTAGCGGCGCCGCCACGAATTTCCTAAATTTTTGCCTCCGATGAGGCCCTTCCTGGTTCCCGTTCGATATAATTTTTATACCAGTGTGACCACCCTCCTTTTCTCTACAAGTTGACCGGAGCAAAATACCAAATCGCAACTCTTGCCGGAGGAGCTGCCGCACCCAGGAGATTCGTCGTCGGTAAGTCTCGATTTTCTAGAATTTTTTGACCCACCAAAGGCCCTAGGGGTGTTTTATAACAGGAACCAATGCAAGTTTGGCCGAATCCAGCCGAAAATGGCCAGAAACGGCCAACCCGAGGTGGATCGGCAGCGGCGTTGTCGCCGGAGCAAGGCGGAGCCGTCGTGCCGGAATTTTAAAATTGGCTGAAAGGGCCCTGGTTCTGATTTGAGGTTTTTTGGGGATATGTGCAGGTACCGGAAGTGTGTTTCAGTTTTCAAGAAAAAATTCAGGGAATCTAGGAATTGCCCGTAGGCGCAGTGAGAACCCGATTTCAGACTCCGAAACAAGTAGTGATCTCTCACCCTATTTCCTATCACGGTATTAAAGCTTAATAAATGATAAAATGGTATTCTATGAATTAATAGATATGTATAATTAATTAAGATTGCTAATGGGGCCCGAACCTGATGTATTTGTTGATCTGTTCTTGCTTGATTTATTTTACAGTTTTAAATGCATTATGATATCTGATCTATTTATTTTATGATTTTGAATGCATAAATCATGGTTTCATTTATTATGGTTTGAATTATTATGAACCCGATGTTGTGTTACCTTGTTTGGTGTCAATTACTGGTTTACGTGTTTATGTTTGATTGGATAATTGAGATTAAGAAAAATAGAAAAATGTATGTGA